GACGATAACGTTTAGTGTGCCAATGTAAGTGGGGCTTTTATGAAACAAGTACCAATTTTATATTATTTTACAAATGGTATTACTTAATTGCAAATTTTTGGCAGTAATGAGGAATAATTATTGTAATTTCTTTGTTAATATTAGAGTAGCGTGGCTAAAAATTTGAAACTTTTGTAATAAAAGTTTTATATTGACTTGCATATGTTAATGGAATAACGCTTTAATCTTAATTTGTTAGTAACCACTTTTATTTAAAAGTGATAGAGGGCACTGTAAAAATTAAAGAATAGAAATAAAACAAAAATTCGGTAGGCAAAAAATTTTGAACTTTTAGTAAAAAAATTAATTTGAATTTTTCGAATCTAACGAAATATAGATTCTTAAATAGAGATAAGAACATTCATGTACATACAAATATGTATATGTTCATTCGTATAAAGTAAACTTTATTTAATGCTGTTCTTTACGACAGCATTGTTACAAACTAACATTTTAGACTATTCCGGCAGGTGAAAACGAATTATCAACTTACTGGTATGTATATTCAAAGTTTTGACTTTTACAATTTTTCCTTCAGCTTATAATTAAGACGTACAGTTACGAAATTTTAAATTCTTAAGGTTACATAATAAATTATTTCTGGTTCTTAAAGGAAAAGTAGAATTGATTATTCGTAAAATTTGGTTAAAAATTTTGAAGAATTTATTTTTAAAATTGAATCAAGAAGTTTGTGAAAGGATCCATATGCAGAATGTTAAAAAGGTGGAGCCAGTAAGGTATCACACTATAGGCATTATATAATTCATACAAGCATATAAATATTATATTTTAATTAGAACTAAATTTATTCTAGATTTTACTAAGAATGTCAATTTCGAGTCACACATTTCTTTGACGATACATAAATTTTATTGAACTTCTTTAAAACCAAGAATGTCATTCATGTTATTGTCATGTTATTGTCATTCTTATCTGAAAGTTTCTTCTTATATGCTCCAATTGAATTAATTATGTATGAAAACTTCATTTTCATTATTTTAACCTAAATTTTCTTTTATTGTAAGCTCCATGTTCAAAGAAAATGTGCTTTTTTTTTTAAAAACTATAAAATTAATCGAATTCATTTTTTTTATATTTGTACTATTATTTTGCATTGCACAAAATTTGTCATTATTTAATATAGCAATTAACTTTTTACGATTTAGGGGTTTTTTTAGATTTTTTTTTTCTGTTTTAGAGATTTTGTGTTGTGTTACTATTATTGTCCTATTAGAACTAATAATTAACATATTGATTTAATTAAAAAATTATTAATTTATTCAATTGAAATAAGTGAAACTGATAAAACGTTATTTTTAAGATTAATTTACGATAACTTACTCATTTATAAAAAAAAACTTTTAACTTAAAAGATTGCAAATATTTTGAGCATAAATGCTATTAATTAATCGCTTAGTAACTATGTATACATATATCCAAATTATTTGTTTTGGCCATTAACTTATCAAGTTATTATTGATTTTTACTAGGTTTTGATAATAACTTTTATATTTACATTTACAATAATTTCTAAATACTGAAAATTTTATTTCCACATTTTTTTGTTGAATTATCCTTGACTTTTAAAGGGCTACTAAGCAAAAAAATTTAATTGCATATTTTGGAGAAAACTTTAAAATACGTTTTTATAATAGGTCATCAAGAGAACAATAGCACGTAGGACTTTGAAACTAGTGGCTTGTATTGGAGGACAATACAGAGACAAAAAACTGTTTTTAATAAAAGCAAAGTTAAAGGTGTAAATAGAAAAAAAAATTGAGGCAAGCATTTTTATGGCTTTTTCTTAGTTTTATAATTTTCACTATCTATTTGTTTAAATTTGAAACTTTTACATTTAAATAGTAATTAAATACGAAATTTTTATTCTAATGCAATTAAAATAAGATAACGTTTTCAAATAAACTATTAAAACGAACATAAATTATTACTAAATACATATAGGAGCTGCCGTATTGCAAAATAAAGCGAGTTTAATTATAGGTACTAATCTTATCTGTATTTCGCATATCAAATTAAATTTTAGTATTTTGTTTTATAGAAATAAAATTTGTAGGACAACTTTTATTACGGCTATTAATGTAATATAAATACCTTTTATACGGCCTTATATGAAACCCCTGCAGGTGTAAATGTAAGAAATTTTGAAATTATTGCAAATTTAATGAATCTAATTGAATTTTTAGTAAGAAAAGGATCCCCATCATAACTTAAAAGATCTGGTTTTGAATTTGTTTCTGGTTTTTGAAATTTTCCTGTTGAGTTTGTAATTTGCAAGTTTTATTCTAAAAAATATTGATTTCCAAAAGATATTGAAAATTTGTCAATTTTTTTAACAAATAATTGCACAACACTTTTTTGACAACCATAGTTTTGCAATTTTAATTAGTTTTACACGTATGCATTATATGCATTTACTTTTATTGGCATGTGTATGTTAACATTACAGTACGTACAAATTCTTTTAATTTTTAATATAAAACTTTGAGAAGGAATCAAATCAGATATTTAAAGTTAAAAAATTAAGAAAGCGTTGTAATTGAAATAACCTATTCCTAGTTAAAATGGACGAGAGGAAGATCGTTACGATACAACAATAAAATTTTGAGTGAAATAAGATTTATTTTATTTGTTTTTTTTTTTTTTTTGAGTTTTTTTCAGCTTTTTACATTTTGGATATAAGGGTAATTTGGCATATGACGATTAAAAAATATTTTCAGTTAGATATTTCTAAAAATGTTATTTTGACAAAATGTAATAAAGCATCCTCTCCTGCCTGAACTTTCAATTGTAATATTTATAGTGATTTTAAAATAAATATTTAACAAATAAAAAATGGTCAATTTAAATTTGGTAAATAATTATAATTAAATGAAGTAATTGTAATTAGAAATGTCAACAATTTCTAAAAATTAAATGCATTCAAAGTAAAATTTAATAATTTCAAATTTAAACTTAAATAGTATTAAGCAATTACTCGTACTTGTCTCGAATGCTTTGATCTATATATTAATTTTAAAAATTTATGACAAAGCTTTTTTTTAGCTAATTTATTGTTTTTTGTTTTGAAAAAAAAAAATAAGTAATATAATTATTAGAGTTAACTAATCGTAAAAATTTTAAGTTTAATGAATGCAAGCTTTGATTATTAATTATTACTTATTTACCCATACGTGTGTATGTTTGATTGCGTACATGTACGAGTATTATATGCTATCTATAAACAACACTTAAAAAATATGAATTTAGTTACTCATATTATAAAGAAAATATTTATTTTTACCGGCATTTCTTATCTTTAGTTCTAATCGAAAAAAAAACAGGTGCTTAAAAAAACAAAAGCCAAAAATATTGATCATAAAACTTTTCTTTTTAAAGATCTATTTAAGCGATAGAGTGTATTTATTTAAGTTCAACTATACTCTTAACAAAAATATTATGCAAGTTTTAAATTTTTTAATTGAATAACAAAAAAAAAGTAGGAATATTCTTCAAAATTGATCCTTTTATTATCAAACTATACACATGAGTTAAGAAGTTAGAAATTAATATAAAAAGACCTACCATAATCTATATACATATATTTAACTCAAATGTAATACAAGTCAAAAACTTTGTTTTTAAGTCAAAAATTTTGTATTTGTTTCAATTCAAAACTTTCTTAAAAAATTATAAATAGTACACAAATTTCATTCACTCACAAAGCAATAAACAAGTTTTAAATAAAATTAGCATACAAAATAAGTAAGTTATAAGTGTGATTAAACCCTAAATCAAAACTTTTAAAATAATAAATACAATTGAAAAATTTACCATTCATTATCAATAAACTAGATAGCGACTTTTGCTTATGAACACAAATATAGTGCGCTATGAAAAGTCATACAAAATTTGAAGTCATTTAACAATCTTAATTTTTACTGCAAAGTGTAAAATAGTGCATTAATTTATAAATTATTTAATTTCTGTTTTTAATTAATTTTATTTTCCTTGCTTAAAATCGATATTTTTTAAAATTAATAATAGCTGTTTAATATGTATAGATTGTAGATTGTACAGAGGGGGTAACCGTGACTAACCGAAAGGTTCTACTGTGCTGCCTCACTTGGTGTGGGACACGTCCCTATAGCATCCCTTGAGATAGAGATACTTGAAAGGTTTGGAAGATCGCGAAAGGTTTGTATCGTTTGGAAGAACTCTTAAGATTTAGAAGAGTGAGTGTAATTAATTTTATACATAAGTATATTAATACAAGAAATATACATAAGGATATTAATGACAAAAGGAATTTTTTCTCTTAAGAAAATCGGATTGTAATTTTTATTCATAAACAAGATTTCGATAAAATGGTAAAGTATTTTATGCAAAACAAATCATTATAAATATTCGAATGAGTTTCTTCCAAAAAAAAAACAAATTCCAAATGGATTGTGTAACCACCTTTAAAGTTTTTAATACATAATTAGACTGTTAGAGTATCGAGAAATAATATAAAGAATTCACACAAGATACTCGTACATATTTTACAAATCATTTCAATTAATGAAATTTACTACCATCTAATTTAAATCACAAGATTATAGAAAAATCTAATTAAATTCATTAAATTGCAGGAAATTGTTATATAAAGGTAACTTGTTTATTATTGTTTTAACTATTTATTCCTAATTAAACTGTTTTGAACTTAATTAATTTTTTTATTAATAATTAATTTATATATGTATTTATGCTAAAATTATGCAATAGCAGTAAATTATTTTAAATAATTCCAAAATAATTACATATTTCACATGTCATATACATACATATATACATATGCTATCCTTTATTTTGGACAATTATAATTAAGATTACTATAATATTTAGGAAAAAAACTATAAGAAAAAAAACTATAACTATTAGAGTTTAAGAAAAGAATATATATTTTTGTTTTGACAACCAACCATATCGAATCCGACATCATAATGAGTTCCTCTTGTGTAAAGGATCGGTATTGCATGACGTCTTGGTATACTTTTAGCCATTTCTAATGTATTTTTTGTTCTTTTTTTTTTAATTAAATTAACACTATTTAAAATTTATATGAAATACAAAAATTTTCAAGTTTCAAAAATCCTTTTGAATCCTTTAAATATTGTTTAATTAAAAATTCAATTTAAAATAACAAGTAAAATTTAAAATTTATTTTTATTGTTCAATTTTTATTGATAAAAACACAACAGAAATTAACAATTTTTTTTTTAAGATAATTAACGTTATTTAATCACGGTAAATCTTTAATAATTATATTTGATCGTATGCTTTCGTATTTTTTTTTTAATTCAATTAGCGTCAAATTGAATAACGTTAAAAGAGTTAACAATCAATTTATAATTTAGATGCAATATTGTTCTTTACAGTACGAAACACACTTAAAGACTGAATGAAATTAGAATTTGTTCTGCTAGATAAGAGTTTTTATTTTATAGAAAAAACAAAATATTTTTTTTTTTGTTTTCGTTAATTTTAAAAATTCCAGTAAAAATTATGTGTGAAAAATCAGAAACAAAATAAGAAAAAAAAAACAGTTAAAGAAACAAAAAAAAAGCATTATATGTATGTATTGTTATACAGGCATATAAATATATGTATAAGTATTTTATATGTATATCAACATCCATATAGATTATTTTTTATATTGTATATAAAGATATTTATAATAAGATATTTAAAAAATATCGAATTAAAAAAGCTTTTAAGAACATTTTGGACTATATTCATGGCACGCGATTAATATTTTAACGTTTACAGCTGTATAAATTCACTAGTATAAATTCACTAATTCTACTTATCATTTATTAACTGAAAATTAGATTGTTAAAAATTCTAGATACCTATATAATTTTTTTCTATTATTACAATTTATTTCTTTTATTGTTTTTAATAATGGTAGATGTTTTATACACTTATATAAATGTACAGCTATTTAATAATAAATCCAGTCGAAAATTAAATAGGATATAGTAAAGTAGATTGAAATGAAGAAGAAATCATTTCACAGTATTTAATATTTATGTTTTAATTAAAAAAATGTATATACAGTTTGATTATTACATTTTTAAAGATTATAAACCAAAATGAAATGGAAATTTTAATAAACCTACTCTATATTAATACAATATCTCACCTTAATTAAATATATTTTCTCTGATCCTTCATACGAATACTAAATCTTCCATATCTAATATATTTTGAATAATTCGCTTAAACTTTCGCAATGAGAGCAAGTATATTCTTTTTTTTATATAGAACACGGTCCTTGAAGCAAAATAATATTTTCGCACAACAATGATGGTTGATGTTGCCTAGTTTTATTTTTTAAAATTAAAATAGTTTTCATTTTACGTCCTTAATTTATCATCTACTTAATATATTAATAATAATTTATTCAAGCGTTTTTTTATAGTACTTAAATATCTTTTATTTGCAGAACATTAATACATTAATTTTATATTAAATGGCCTGCAATTAAGATTTTAAAAAATACTTTAAGTGCAACAGCCTTAATATAGGCAAATAAATTTCAACCTTTTGTAACGGTTTGTCTTCGTTTTGATAAAATGAAGAAATATTAATCTTACTTTTTCCTTCGCAGTTTTCTTTTTTTTTAACTTTTTTATATTGTTTTTTTGTTTTTTATTTTGCGTTTTTTTACAATATTGTTAAACTGCATTGTTGTAATTTTTGATAATTTTATTGAAATTAATTTTTTTTGTATAATTTTATATGTAAAAACCAAAAAAAAAAAATAATATTGTTAATGCCGTGAATTCATCTAATATCGGGATCTAGAATAAGTACAAAAATAACAGACAATAAATGTACATAAATATTACACGATATATAATTATGTTAAATACAATATTATATTGTAAAAAAAAAATTAATTAATTCTGGGTTTTTTTTCAAATACCTTTAAAGGGGTTAAAGACTACAGCTTTTTTCGAAAGATTTTGAAAATAATGGGAAACAAGATTATCGAATAAAAATAAATTAAAAAATATTTATATAAGTAAATATTATTATACATATGTATATGCATACAGCAATAGTAAAAAAGGTAAACATTATTAAAAATTATATTCTTTTATAAATTGCTAAAAATCTGGATCCTTTGTTTCTTGTTACTTTAATACCTTCCTCACTACTTTCATATAACTTTTCTATAATTGGATCATTTTTCTAGAATAAAAAATTTATTAGTTCAACTTAAAATTTACGATCTTGTTTTAACAGAATTAGGTAACTACCAAATATTCATCTTCAACTTTCTCGTATAATGGATGCTCCTCTAAATGTTTAACAATCCATTGGTTCAAATCTTCAACATCCGTAATTGTATATATTATCCCCTAAAATGTTGGAATTAATAATAGTGTATTTAATAGTAATATTAATGAGTACCTACCCCTTTTCTTAAAACGTAAGCATATTCTGATAAAAGTGATTGATTTATAATTCTCCATTTATGTTTGGCTTTTTTGAAATGGGGATCAGGATATAAAAAGAATATTTTAGATAATTGAGCTTTTTCAAAAAAGTTTGGTAGATATTTCATAGCATTTGTTCGCAAACAAGCTATATTATTGTATTTTCCTGCATGTAATTTCCGCAACGCTTCTATTCTATCCACAACGTAATCTGACACTTTAACACGAATTTCCATTCCCAAAGCAAGTTTATCCGGAAATAATTCACTTAGTGTAACTAAAAATCCACCATAACCACATCCTATATCAGCGAATTCTATCATTTGATTTGAATTTTTAATTTCAGGGTACAAGGTTGACCAGTCAAAATCGCTTGGACATGATGGACTAAAATGCAAAGATTTATTTCAAGAATTTTTAGTTATCTGAATCTTACTATTCAAAACTATGATCTGCTATAGGGTTAGAGTGAGCTCTTTGTCGATAATAACGTTTTTGAGGAAGAGATAACTCCATTTTTCTTAAAACTAATGAAAAAAAGTAAAATAATATTTTATATTATCTTTTTTGTTTCTTTTGTATCAGCATTAATTTGTATACTCGTATCATATAAAAATCTTTAAGGTATGCTCTATCTACGACATGAATTACAAAAACAAAATAAATATGAAGATGGAATATACAAATATGTAGTAAATTTGACAAATAATATTGTAATTGTCATACGATTTTATATTACATTTGTATTTGACACTTATCATTAAAGTAAAAATTGTCCCATTTCGTTGCAAAGATAATGTTCCAACACGTTCCAATAACACATGTTGTGAAGAATTATCAGCAACATTACCATCCAAGTTGCCGCTTTTAGTTAATAACCTTCCACGAATTATCATTAGTTCTATTTAAACTGCGACTTGAAGTTGACAACACAACAAGAGCGGTTTTCCGCGACGAAATATCTCCATTCAAACAAAATTATTACCGCAAACTTCATCGCAAGCGATAAAATAGACAAAATACATATTTTATCGCTGGCGGTTTTTTATTGACATTATCTGTTTCAATGTGTTTTTAACTTTATATACAAAATACCGAACAGTTGATTTAGCTGTTACGCTTTTGTTGAGGAACGTAAATCGCCCGCCCTTTCGTGCACTGCTTTGGTTATCTTTTTACAATGACTTAGGTTTCATTTCCCCAGTTAAAAGACTCGTCACGTAAACATAGCTATTTAGGACATTAAAATCAAATGAGGTATATAATTATTTTGTGGAAAGTGACCGACAAGTATTGCCACGGCCACGACCACGGCCACAGTTACATAAATTAAATCATATGTCTTTGGATTGCTATGTCGTATGTAAGTATGTACATTCCTTTTCCTTTTTAGTTTTTTCTTTCATAAATTTTAAAAGTTTTACTAATATAATATACAATTATTGGTGAAGCTTCAAAACAAAACAAAACAAAAACCTAAATAGCTGAAATAGAATTTTTCACTAAAAGTATTGTAACCGGTGTTGTAGTCATACAAAAAAAGTGACAACACAATAGGAGAATGTGTCCAAAAGTCATCCTGTAATCACAGATAATATCATATAATATATTTAAATTAATCTCAAATGTGAGAAAATAGTATGAATCCAACTAAAATAGGAGACTTTTAAAATTTATTATACAGATGTCACTCAATATCACTATTTTTTTTATGCCTTAGGCTAGCAGCAACTTTAATATGTAACTTAGATGAGCAACAACTTGAATTTGAACGCTGACCACACTTGACGCACACTATTGTACCAAAATTAAAAAGAATAATGGCGGATAAGTCGCGCTAAGTTTTAGTGAAAATAAAAGTGAAAATTGAATTTTAAAACGTTTATTATCTTATTTTTGCTACTAATAAACAATAAATTAGAAATTCGTTCAATCTGTTTGTAATTAAATTTCATACATATTAAAAACAGACGTAAAGAAAACGGAAAAAAAAAATCTGGTGAATTAAGATCGCAAATAAAATATGAAAATGTGTTTTACCAAGTGCGAATTTAAAATTAAAATATCATTTTGAAAAATGAGTAGTTTTTCTTGCTAAAATTAAAATAATTCATAAATTTTTATTAATTAAAAGATTCTTACGGCATTTTCTCAAATTTATCCTTTCAAGGACAATTTTTCATTAAATAAATATCAAAACTAATGCGAGTAGCATCCATTGTGATTTATTAAGATTTCAAATTACTTAGTTAATAGAAAAAATAATGTCGGAAGACGATAGTTTTAGTACAAGTAGGGGGCAGTATAATTCTGCAGAAATAACCTCGGAAGAACATGAAGCTAATGACGTGAGTATAGAAATATAACCATGTGAATGTGATCATAGAGTAGATAGATGTACTACATATGTGTGTAGATTGTTTGCTTTATTAGATGGAAAGTCAACGTTACGAAATTTTTTAAACTGTTCAATTTTTTTAGTCAATTATTCAAAAAGTGAAATCGACTGTTTCCAGCATTTTACCACAAACTTTAAGTAAATGGTTTTCATCGACTAATGTTTCGGAAGAAAATAGAAATGGTAATATTAGAAGACGACGATGCGAAGAAGATAACTTTAATGATAGTGATCCCGAAAATAGTCAAGATGAACATTGTACTTTAGTGATGCCACCAATGAAAAAGACTCGTTTGAATAATGATGAGGTAATAATTGTTAATTATAAATTGAAAAGAAGGAACATAATTTTATTTATCACTTAAGCTTGGCCACTTTCCAATGACAAAACATTGCATTAACAAGATTGGAGAAAATAAGTTTATGTCATCCACACCATTAGATATTCGAGGACGAAAAGAATTACACACTGAAATTTCGTCAAATTTTATTTCACCTAAGAATAAAAATGTAAGACCTCTTGATGACATCGAAGAAGAAACTGACATAATTGAGGTAGTACCAAAACTGTCACGTAAAACTAATCAAACTAAAAGGTAAGATATTTGAAAAATATTAAAAACATTTGTACGTTTAGTTTTTAAAAAAATTCTTTTTTGACCTTCAATTAAAAAATTTTGTGTAACTTGTGATATTGATTTTTCCAAATGTTTAAAAAAAAATTTATTTAAACATTTTTTTTTTTAATGTTTTAGGAATACGAATATGTCAGGTAGATTTTCAGAAAATCAATTTTTGAGGAGCGAATCTGGTTTAGCGAATTTTAGTAACAGTTTTATGTCCTCAAATTTAGTTAAAAAAAGGAAAATTCAAACAAATTCTATTAGAGAAGAAGGTGGAGAAGAAGATTGCGAAAATGAAGAAATTGACGACTATGAAGATGATCTTGAAGATGATGATGAAGATGAAGAAAAAAGCCATAGCGTAAGAAAAGATACAAGATTAAATAAATCAAATATGCTCTCGAATGGAACAAATAACATGCCTAATATAATAATGTCCCGAAATGAAAATCAAGATAGTGCATCAGAAAGTGGAGAAAGTCAGTGTTCTAGTTTAGCAAATCAACAAATAATTGGTCAGAATAAACGTACTGGATTGTTCAATTTTAATAGAGCAAAAAATTTAGACTTTGTTCATTCAAAACCAAATTCTACCAATGGATTTAATTTTTATTCTCATCTAGAAGGAAAAAAATCTTTGTTTTCATCAAAAAATATGCACAGCGTTTTAAATAACTCAACTATGTCGTTAACTAGTCTAAATAGGCGTCAACAGTTCAATCCATCTTTATATGGAAGTACATCTGCTTTAAGTGATTCACGCTTATTGAATACAACTTCACCATTTTATAAGGGTAGGACAACTTATGGAGGGGCTTCAGCTTATGGAAACTCATTTCTATCTTCTAGTGCTCGACAAATCCGAATAAAGCCAACTTTGATTCGCCCGTCTTCAAGTTTGTCGAACGTATCAAATTCGTCTCAAGATTTGAATATAACAAACACTGGAAATTTTGATAAAAATGCGGTGCGTAATAGTACAACTGGGAATAATACCGCAATTTCAAGTACAGCTAAACGGATACTTGAACTAATGGATCAATTCACAACACCTTTAAATGAAGCGAGAAAAATGGCTGAAAGTTTGAAGAATTCTCAAATAATTGGTAACAAAAATAGATTCACTGAATCAGATTATCTTTCAAGTAAATCTTTAAATACTGGCATCCGATTACAAAAACCTAAGACCCCTTATAGTCGACCTCAAGAAAATAATAATAAACAAATTTTAAATGAAAATATGTTACCTCCAGTAAACGAATTACAAGTTCCATCAATGGCTCAATTATTGCAGCTAAAAACATTGCAGGCTAATACAGAAAGAAATCGAGAAATGGCTACCTCTAACGAAAAATTCTTGTTAAATAAAAGAAATGATTGTAATACTTTGAAAAATAATCAAATTGACAAAGGTAATATTTTGTCAAGTCATAGTAGAAAAATCAAAACTAAAATAACAAGCACAAGACCTTCGAAAAATTCAAGTGAGCTAGAAATCGCTGAAACAATAACATTACCAGATATTCCCCTACCTTTGATGAAATCGATACCTAAATTTGATATCCCTCCGCCAAGTACAAGTTCAGCCTATAAGGTACCTTTGAATACTACAACTATTACACGACCAGCGTTGGGAAATGTTTCTACTGTATCCAACAGCACAATTAAAAATGACACTTTAAAAACTGGTTATAAATTTTCGGCTCCTATTAAGATAGATTTTAAAGTTGATTCCAAATCAATATCATCATGCGATAACTTTAAATTTAGTCATCCGATAACTGTAGATTCGTACGAAAAATCAAATGATATAATTAAAAATGATATTAAAAAAACTGAAGAGAAACAATCAGAGAAATCATTTTCAAATTTACCACAATTAAACAGAGGTAATATAAAAGAAGTTTCTGCTGAAACCTTAACTACAAATCCAAGTAAAACTATAACAACATTGAAAAGTGGAAGCGTTTTGGACGTTTTAAACAAATCAAATAAAGTTGTAGAAGTAAAGAACACCAGCAATATAAATAAAAATATGAGTGAAACTGCAAGTGGAAAAACTAATTTAGGGTTTGGTGAAGCTTTTAAAAAGCCCGCAAATATGTGGGAATGTTCAATTTGTTTGGTAAATCATTTTGATTTTTAAAAAATTAAATTATTTAGTTATTGAAGTAATTGAAAATATTTATATTTTTAGATAAGAAATAATGAAAATTGTGAGAAATGTGTAGCTTGTGGATCATCAAAAAAGGGAGGTAGCGAAAAAGAGAAAACGGTTTTTCCCCCACCTTCTCTTGTGACAACGAATATTTCCTTAAGTGAGCAATTTAAATCAAATCCAAATACTTGGGAGTGTTGTGCCTGTTTGGTTAGAAATAAGAATGAAATTTCTTCGTGTGTTGCTTGTAATACGTCTAAGCCGGTATTAGTGAGCGATACTAAAAAATCCAGCGATAATAATGCTAATAGTACTGGAAAGGTTGCCGAACCAACTAAAACTGTAGACCCAACTTTCAAAGAAATTGTTGCTCAACAAAGTGGAAAATGGGAATGCTCTGCTTGTATGACTAGAAATGATTCCAATCGTTCAAAATGTATATGCTGCGAACAAGCAAAACCTGGATCGAGTACCTCTACAGGGAAAAATGAATTTTCTTTTGGAGCTGCCGCTAGTAAATTTACTTTTGGCTTTAGTAAATCTAATGAAGATTCTTTAAAAAAGACTGATGAATCTGTTTCTAAAACGGTAGAAGCAACTTCACAAGGAAATTCAGGCTTTAGTTTTGGCATATCATCTAACCCTATTTTTACTACTCCAAAAATTCCAGCAACAGCCAACACATTTTCATTTGGTGTTAATAAAACTACAGCCACAAGTGCAACTACTCCTGTAGCGTCAGACGGTAAGTTAATAGACAGCAACAAAGCTAATGTAAAAGCATCAACATTGGAATCGGAACTTTTGAAGACTACAAGTAAACCGGCTGAAAATGTTAATTTCATGTTTGGTTCTCCAAAAACTAAGGGTGAAACTGATTTAAAAAAGACGTTTTGTTTTGGGTCACCAACGCCAATATCATCGAATACAACTAAAACCGAATCGAAATTAACTACTTCAAGCGAGTCCACACTTCCAAACTCTGGATTTTCATTTGGTTCACCTCAAAATCAAACTACAAATTTGAAAACAACTACACCTGGGTTTTCATTTAACTCACCGTCTTTGTTAACTGCAGCACAAGGGACCTCTGCAACAGTTTCCACGACTACGCAATCAGCAACATCCACTGCGGTTAACTTTGTTTTCGGCTCACCTAAGACTACGAACTCCACAACCACATTTGCAGCTCCGGTCACTACTACGTGGTCAAATGTTTTTGGTTCTCCATTATCTAAAAATAATCAGGTTACAAGTGTATTCGGAAATGTAAATAAAGAACAAAGTAAGTTTTTTTAACAATTTTGAACCATTTCTAATTATTAATAATTAAACAATATTTTGTATAGGCCCCAAAACGTCTCTAGGCATAAGTAGTCAAGGTTCAAATAGTAATGTCATACAATTTGGGGCGAATAGTAATAATAATCATGATAAAAATTTAAAAACTTCTGTTCCTGTATTTGGATCTCCTTCAGGCATGAGCTCAAGTAATAATCAATTTAGCTTTGGATCATCAAGCAGCTCAGCAGTTTTTGGTTCAAATACTAATACAGCCGCACCAAGCCCTTTCAATTTTGGATCTCCTAAAACGGTTAATGATTCAGTTGGCAACGTTACACTGAACACAGGTTTAACAGCTGCTTCCAATCCCATTAGTTCTATATTCGGAGCCTCAAACACTACTATTAATAATAATAATAATAATAATAATAATAATAATAATAATAATAATAATAATAATAATAATAATAATAATAATAATAATAATAATTATAATAATAATAATAATAACAATAATAAAAATAATGCTAATAATACTAATAATACTAATAATAACAATAATACTAATAATAATAACAATAATAATGATAGTAATATTAATAATAATTGCAACAGTAATGGTAATAATAACATTAATAATAATAATAGCAATAATATCCTTGGTAATAATAATATTAATAACAACGTTAATAGTAATAATAACATCAATAATAACATTAATAATAATAATAATTTTAATAACAAAAATGATAATTCTAATAGAACTAATAATCTTGTTAATAATAATACTATTAGTGATAATAAAAATAACAATTATAACATCGGTAATACTAATAATAACAACAGTAATACTAATAATATTGTTCTCAACAGCATCAATAACGAAACTAACATCAGTCCTGGCTATTTTAATAATCACAATATTATTGGTAATAACACCAATACCTCTGTTATTAGTAATAATAATAGTAATATTATTTGTAATAATAATTCTATCAATAACACTAACATTAATAGTAATAATAATAATAATAATAATGATAGCCATATAATTAAAAATAATAGTAATAACACTATTAATAATAACATAAATACTAACAGTAATGTTACGAATAATAATAATAGTAACAATAATAATAATAGTAACAATAACAGCAATAGTATTATGAACAATAACAATAGCAGAAATAACAATATTTTCAATAATGATGTCAGTAATAATAATAACAGTAATAATATTATTAATAGTAATAACAGTAACAATAATAACGTTAATAACAATAGTAGTAATAATAATAGTAGCAATAATAACAATAATAATATTACGTTTGGGTCTCCTACGGCATTCGGTAGTTCAGCTTTTAGTTCTCAATCATCAACAAGCTCAATTTTTGGGCAATCTGCTTCTGTGCCTAACTTATTTGGAAATAGCGTTGTACAACAGCAAAATCAACAGCAGCAAAAGCCGTCTTCAAGTTTTTCCTCTCCTGGTACTGGTTTATTTGGTTCTAATACAAACGCATCAACTTCAGCATTCACATTTGGGAATACAGTCGCTTCAGCTCCATCATTTGGCGCTCAAACAGCATCCATGCCAACTTTTAGAAATCCAACCGCTAATACTAATACTTCTTTTACCTTGCCAACTCAAGAGTCAACAAAAAAACTAACTGATACTCCATTTAATTTTAATGCAGCAGTTCAAAACCCACCTTCGGTAAGAAAAACTATTTCATATTTTACAAATTTTTACAACTATATCAATATTTTTCAGGGAGGATTTTCTTTCAGTAACAACAATACAAACATTAACAAACCAGCTTTTAATTTTTCTGCACAAACAATGCCTTCTTCATTCAATTTTACTGGGTCCGAGGTAACATTTTTTAAAATTTATTTATATTTTGTTTTATTTTTTTTTTATCATTCATTTATTTTTTTTTATTTTTTATTCATATTTTTTATCTTCACATAATTTTGTTTTTATTCTTATAATATATTTTCGCAACCTAAAATAAAATATTTCATTTGATATTTTCCACTAAATTACAACAAAAAATTAAAAATTTGAAAAAAATATTCAGGCAATAAATTCATCACAACCATTTCAATTTGGAGCCTCCTCGATTACTACAACTATACCACCAGTGTTTAATTTCGGTAGTAGTGAGGTAAAGTACAGTCTCATTTCGGATGTTAGTTCTATATATAAACACATACATATATATATATTTACAAAACAAAAAATGCTTTTATACCTATTTAAGCCTTGATTCTGATATAGTATCGTTTATATTATAATTAATTATTGTTCTACTGTTTATAATTTATAAATATATATATATATTTTATATATATATATATATATATCTTTTTTTTTTGCATTTTGTATTTGTTTTGAAATTTGTGTAATTAATGAATTATTGAAGATTTGTATATTTTGTTGAAATAATTTCTACAATTTATTTGTAATTGTTGAAAAAGAAAATTTATGGAATGTTAGATAAACATGCAAATACTAATGTATAGAATGTATCATTCCTTTTGAGATATTTTTTAATTTTAATGTTAATATTCATGAGTTGATTAAATTTGTTAATTAATAATAAACCAATAATAAATACTTGGCAATTATAAAGCAATGAAATGAATTATTCGTGACAATCATTCATATTATGCTAGACGCATCACTTAAAATGAGGGGATATTATTCAAATGTATTGAGGTTTTCATTTCGAAAATTATAGACATATTCAGATTTTTATATTATTTTTAAAATTATAAAAAACTTTGAAAATTATTCCATCACGTTAAGAGATACGTCTACAAAAATATGGGAGATAATTAATTAATTTAAACGAATTACTCTTCAACAAATTTTCAATTTTTCAATATTACTTTCATTAATTTTTATGATATTAATTTAAAATTATAATTGAAATTCCATAATTAACCTTAACACAATGTATTCAAAAAAATAAATACTATTACATTAACACACGATTTATATATAATTTCCGAATAACTAAACATTTAAAAATTTTGTTTTTTTTATAAACTGTTTCATTTTGATTTGGTTGGTTTCAAGTGTTCATAATATGCCTTGCCTTAATATTTATAATATATTAGTATAAAATTCGATGGAAGATGTACACACAATTAATACGAGTATTATTGATTTGCGTTAAATATTCTTCTTGAAAATAAAGAAAAAATTGTTTAGGGAAACGATAATTTTATCGTTTTAATTTTTTTTTTTTACGAATGATGTTTTTGACTGCGATTACATTTTGACATAATGTTGTCGAATTAAAAAAAAAAGTACGGCTTAATTTTGAAGTTTCAAGTAATTTTTGTGAAAGAACAAATAATTATTCTTTGTAAAAAATATAAAAAATGCTGAAAGTAATTCTACTAATAATTTAATCATTGTTAATGCTTAATATTTTTCTGATGACTGTGCTAAATGTTACCACAATGCTCTTATAACAAAACTTTAAAATTTTAATTGTATATGAATGAAATAAGACACAGCTGTACACAGAGATTTTGTTTATTTGAATGGTAAATGGCTTCTTTAAATTGATGATTTAAAAATTTATATTCGAAAATTATTCTTAAAAAATTTCAGCATTTGTTTGTTTTGGTTTTCAACCGTGCATTTGCTTTTAAATTTGTAATTCACTTTTTCTCTGTTAATTTAAAAGTTTTTTTTCGAATGCATTGTATAAAAGATTTTTGCGATTTTCCGGTTTTATTTCATCAATTATTTAAAGTTTTTTTTTTTGTTTTCGGCTAACACTCCGTTTTTTATTACGTAAGAAAACTCATACTTTACAAATGTGTTTTTTTTGTTGGTTTTAACGTTAATAAGTTTTATTTAATTTGAAATTATTAAAAGAAATAAGAGCGAACTGAAAAATTCATTAGGTTTAAGCTATTCTTTCTACAATGGTTCACAATCATTCAGTTATTATTTATTAATTTCAATTTATTTAAAAAAAAAAACATCAAATAGAAAACACCTGGTAAAGAAATTATTTAAAAATTGAAAAATCGAAAATTGTTTTTCCAGAATCCATCTAATGCGCCGTTTACATTTAACGCATCAACAGCATCAACTAATTTATTTGCGTAAGTATACGAATACCTATACGTAACTTGTTTTTTTTTTATATTAAACAACTAATCTCGAAATGCCAATTAAAAATTTATTTACGTATTTTTGTTTGGTAAAGATTATATTATTTTAACAACTAAGTCTTAATTTAGTTTTTAAAATACAATTTGTTTAGTTTCACTTTAAGGGCGACTACATAAAAATATATTGGTTTTAATTGAAAATCAATACGAAAATCAAAAAAAAAATTAAATTAAATTAAATTAAAAACATTGATTTAATTTGATTGATTAAAGTGCATAAATTAGAAATAATGAAATGGTTTGTAAAGCTAAAAATACGTAAATAATTTTATATGTTTAACTAAAACGCTTTTTTGATGTAATCTTAGAATTCATGTCATGAATGTCTTATGTTTCTTCTAACCTCCCAACATTAACCTATTTTCTAATGTAAAGCATGGTTTCAAATTATATTTTTGTATATAGAAATAAAAACATTATTAACTATATATAAAAATAAACATTTTCTTAGTTATAATTGAATTTTTTTAGTTTCCACTAAGAATTACATATTTACATAAGTAGAATGAATTGATTTTGAATTGTCTGCAAACAATATTTGTTTAATTGTACTTACATATTATATGCATATAACGTTTTGTTAAAAGAGACTCCATTTTTTTTCAAATTGTACACATATTCATACATATATTTTTTCATATCATTTCATAAATATTATGTAAAAACATATTCATTTTGAAAAATTCTTATTATTGTGTTAAAATCATTTAAATTTTAATTTTTTTAACATTAGCAGATTTTCATCTCATAAAATTGAAATGTTCATTTTTAATGCTAAAAATGATTTTCTATTCATATATATCAGAATTTTCAAAAAATCACCAATAGTATGATTTTTAATGAATTGAATAATGAATTTAAAAAAATATACGATTTTATTTCCAGTCCAACTCCATTACCAGGGACTTCAACGACAGCCCGACGCAAAATACGGCCAGTGACTCGACGTGCCCAGCCACGGTAGGCATTAAAAAGTATAAAAATGTTAGCGATAATTGTAATAAAAATAATAAGAGTTATTTAAAAAAATCAATACCCTCACATTTAATAAAAAGCTGGTTAAAATCGTCACAACACAAAACAGAAGAAAATATAAAATATGAAGGCAATTTTAGCAAAAATAAAATATATATAAATAAAAATTATGAAGAAAATTTAGAAAAAAAAAGTTTAAGCATAGATGATGGTAATGATTTAATGAAACAAAATAATTATTTTTTAAATAATCAAAAAAATGTTGAAAGAAAAAAGATATTTAGCCAAAAAACTTGCGATATGACACACACTTCTAATAGTTCTATTGAAATTAGTTATCAACAAACATCTTTGAATAATAATAAAAATATTGCAGAAAATATTAATGAAAATACTTTATTTAAAAATATTCATAATCATCATAATAGAATTGTTGATAAATTGAAAGATAATTCTTTATTAAATGTAAATAAAAATTATAAATTTTATCAACCAAAAAAAGAAAAATATATTAAACAGATATCTAAAGATAATAAAATGAAAATTAATAAGAAATACAATAAATATTTTCTTTGTAATAATGTTTATAAATTTTCTTTGAAAAATATAAACAATAATAATATCAGTAATAAAATTAATTATACACAAAAAAAAAATGATATAAGTAAATATTATGTAAAATCAATTTTTAATTATAATAAAAATATTGAAAATAGTAATAATGATAATAATAATATTAAAGATAAAATTAATAATTATATTTCAAGTGAAATAATTGAAAAACATAATTCAAACACTACTCAACGAAAGATAAATTTATTAAAAGAAAAATATGAAAAGACAGCTATTATTAGAAGGTTAAAATATCAAACGAATATTAATAATAACAAAAATAAAAGTTGCTTTTATAAATTTATTCCAAAAAGTTCAAATGCATCAGCACCATCAGCAATAAATTTATTACAAAAGCCGATATCAACAAAATTAATAACATCATTAAAACAATCAAAGTCTTCGTCGTTGCAATCAATATCATCAAATAATAGCAAAAATAATAATAATGATGATAATAATAATAACAATAATAATAATAATAACAATAATAATAACAATAATAATAATAATAAAAATAATAATAATTATAATAATAATAATAATATTAATAATATTAATAATGATAATAATAATAGTAACAAAAATATTAAAAATAATGAAAAGTCTTCTATGTTAGATAATATTTGTCTGTCGTCAGTATTGTCTGAGTCATTATCATCTTTAACACAAAATATTGAGTCCAATAAAATAGAGGGTAGGGAATTAATTAAAACAAATGATATTCAAAGAGAATTTAGCACTGACCAATTCAATGTACATAATTTAATTTATAGAAAATATTTACAAAAATTGAGCCTAAAAGGTTTCTTAAATAAAAGAAAATATTTATCTGACAAATCTAAATTTAAATATGTTAAAAAAGATACCGAAGAAATATAGAAAAAAAATTGTATATTCGAGTAAAAAAAATCAACTTCAAAATAAATAACTACACAGAATTAGGAAAAGACAAAATAAAAAAGGGAAAAACCTGCATTAAAGAATTTCACATAATACAATTAAAAATTATTTTCTTTTGTAATATTTAATTTCAATTTTAAAAAAAAAGGAAATATTATTTTTTAAACAATAAAAATTAATTTATTAAAAGCAATTAAAAAATTGACTGAAACATGGACGTTTTTTATATTCTTATTGAAAATTCTTTTGTAATTTAATTTTAAAAAACATATTTGTAACATAAAGTTATTTTCAACCTGTATGTATATTTATTTTTTATATTGTGGTTTGGACTTATTTCTTAATTTAAAAATCAAATTATTATACATTAGTAAACATTTTGTTCAATTAATTGCATAAATTTCAATTGGTTTTTAAATTTTATTTTCTACTAAAAAACTGATATTATAAATATACATATATTTTTAAATTAATCTCATGTACATACATACATATATAATTTTTTTTATTGTATTTTGGAATATTTACAATTATTATTGTTTTGGATTTCAAACGATGTTAAATAAATAGTTTAGTTTTACACTTTCGTCTTTTTTTTATGTATATTTTATATATATTTTAGTTATTCATAATTTCAAATAAGTCCAAAAACACATTAAACACTAGGGTGTCTGTCTACCAAAATGCAAATCTAACATCAATTTGACTTATTCGGCAATTAAAAATGTCGAAATCTGAATATATCAAATTGACGTTAGATTTGCATTTTGGTAAATTCCCTATTTTGATTGCTCTTTTATGCTTTATTTCAACAAGTAGTCGATTTTTATTTTGATACTTCCGAAAATTAAAAATCGTGTGGGGAATTTGTTATTATCAATGATAATTCTGTTATATTAAAAATTAAAAAAAGAAATAATAAAATTGTTTAAAAAAAAATCAATATGTAACAAAACATGTAAAAAATTGTTTTAAATTTTTTATAAATTAAATTAGGGGGCTAAAAAAATGTATGTATTTTTTTAGTAAAGAATACAACTATTAAAGGGGAAAATAGTTGTGTTATGAATCTATTTTAAAAAAATCTTTAAAATAAAAGGAAAGTAATTGTTGAAATTATTATAATATGAATGTGAAGAGAAAGTGAATGAAACTTATATACATTAATGCGTATATGAATGAAATAATGTAATATGATTATATAATTATTTTATTGAGAAAAAATGGAATTTTATTATTTTTTCTTTAGATTGTTGACTAGATGATAGGCCTATTCTCTTTTTTTTTCAATTGTTTTCTAGTATAATTTTTCCTTTATAATTTAATAAGAAAATTAATAAATAACACATATATAAATAAAAGAAAAATTTGCTTTTCATTCATTTGTAAAAAAAAACAAACAAAATATAAAAAACATGTAAAAGAAAATATAAAATTAAATGTATAAAAAGTCTTAAATATTTAGCTAGGGTATCTCTAAATCACTTACTTACTTTTCAATTTATATTTTATTTTTCTTTTTTTTTGTAAAATAACTTTCAAAGAAATAAAAATATATTATAAAGTAAGCCGCAAATAAAAATATAAGTACATAATGAAAATATGAAAAATTTTTGTAAATTTTAACTAGTTTATATGATTCAAACAAAAAAACAAAAAAAAAAATTATGTGAAACTTAATTCAACTGAAATAAAGAAATATTATCATTATATTTTATATCAAATCCTGTTCACTATCCGAATCGCTTAACGATATCATGTACAATATAAAATAGTAAATTTATTTGTTGGTCTTTATTATAATCAATTGATTTTGATGTTTTTAATTAAAATAATTTTTATGCGATATGTCAATTTAGAATTTTGCTTAAATCTAAAATTAATTTTTTATTTGAAATTAATGTTTTTGTGAAATTTGGAATATTTTCATTTACTTTTAGTACATATTCAATTATTGCATTTATTGCAAGATTTTTATTGGCCTTTTAGAATATGCCAGTCATTAATCCATTTAATCAAATTAAAAATATCATAAATGAACTGAAGTGGATAAATTACTGAAGCAAAAACAAAATAGATACACGCGAATTATCAGTAATGTCAATTTAATCTTTTTTTTGTGGTACCAAACGTTTTTAATAAATCTAAATAATATTTCTTAATTAAAACTTAGTAATACATTTTTAAATTATGTTTCCAAAAAAATTTCATTTAGTTAGTAATAAATAATATTAGAAAATTTTAGTATTTGAAAATTTTTCAAGTTTATTTTGAATTTCTTTTTTGTCCAATTGCAAACAATGTGCCAAATTAAATTTTTTTTTCATATTAAAATTAAAATCATAGAAATTAAAACTATGTTTGCATAAGAAATTAAAACTATGTATGTATAAGAAATTCTGAAAATATTTTATGAAATACGATTTTTAATTATGAGATGCAAAATAAAATGATTATGAAATGATTCTACACAAAAGTAAAACAAATCAGAATTTAGTTTTAATGAATTATATTTTAAATTTCCTTGTTTTTTTCTACATCATTCAATAAGAAAATTAAATTTTTATTTTTTTTTTCAATTTGTAGTTTGAAAATAATTGTTTGACACTACAAATTGAAAGCACAAAAAGACTGCCCAAAAGCAATCTATTAATTACAATTTACATCAAAATCAATTAATATAATCAAAAAAAAAGGCAAAATTTAATATTTACTTTTTTTTTTACGATTTGCATGATTTTTTACGATTTTTTTTCACGATAGCTTGAGTTATTTTACCGGATAACAACATTTCGAATAAATGTTGTATTTTTACAGATGTTAAAAAAAATTTTTTTTAGCGCATATTATCTTAGAAACATCATTAAAAGTAATTATTTTAACAATTTAATTTCTTTTGAATAATATTAAGATTGAAATTTGAAATTCTACATTAAAGTATATAGTATTTTCGAATATTCTGCAATCTCGTCAATTTCGAATATTCGTTCTCTTTTTAATGATCACTTTTAAACATTTTAATTAATTATCTATATTTATAAGATAATTGTTTTTATTCAATTAAATTTTAAAGGAAAAATCATAAGATCAACAAATTAAATTTACGAATTTAAAAATCATGAATTTTTATATTTGTACACAATTAACAGAAACTTTTATTTAAAAACATTTTTTACAATTTTAATTAAAGCGAAATTGCATACAAAAAAAAAAAAAACAAAAAAAACTTTAAGTTCCTCTCATATAAAAGTGTAGTAGACTGTATAAAAGAAACAAAAACAAAAAATTAGAAAAGTGTTATATAAACTCATTAATATTCAAATTGCATTTTTTGTACTTTTATTTTTTTATACAAAAAAAAACAAAAAAAATTATTTTATATTTCGTTATCTAAGAAAAAAATAAACTTAATATTACAGCAAAAGGAAACAAAAAAAAAATAAATTAGAACTATTGTAGGAGATTCTTTTTTTCAAAATATTTTAAATAAAATAAAAAAAAACGCAAAACTCTGGTATGTATACATGTAGTCAACCAAAATTAATTTGCACATGATTTTTTGTATTTCAGTAAAATTCAAAAATACAAACGGGATAAAATTAAATAAAAAAAAATATTAAATTAGCGCTACCGGGAAAAAAAAATTCTAATATAAAACAAAACAAAAAAAATATAAATAAAGTAACATAAAATCATTTTGTAATATTTAATAATATAGTTTAAACAAAATATACTTATATATATATATATATATATATATATATATATATATATATCTAAGAATTACAATTAAAAATATATATATATATTACACACAGAAAAATTAAAGTAAAATGCTTTCTTTGAGTAGTAGTTATAAGAAAATATAATTATCATAATTACAATAAAGGAAAACAAAAAAAAAAAAAAATAAAAAAAATTTAATAAAAAAATTGTATAAAAAAAATGGTAAAATTTAGATTGTAAGAAATTTTTTTTTAGTTATAAGATTAAAAATAGAGAAAAAATAAAAATAATTATAAAAAAAAGTAATGGAAAAAAAATAAACTTTTTTTCCCCTGCATTCTTTTTTTTTTTTTGTTTGGCAAATGAATTTAAATATTAAGTTTTTCTTTTTCGCTTATATTTTGTGCTTTTTCAAAAATCAAATTCAAAATGAAATTTAATTTATGTAATGAATTAAAAGCGCAAATTCATGATGAAATAAAAAATTCAATGTAAAATTTAAACAACGTCTTATTCAGTTTACATCTTCCATCAATCATCACCCACCTCTTCAAGTGTGCGTTTAAGAGAAATGTGGGGTTATCTTGTTTTTTTTTGTATTTTTTTTTTTTTAAATTTTCATAATGATTTTTAGATTGTTTTTTGTAATTAATATCCTCTTATATTTTTTAATTTTATGCTTTTATTTTTATTTTGCATTATCAAATTAATTTTTTTTATTCTATTTTATTAGTTTCGTTAAATAAGTAAAAGAAATTCTCGATATATATATTGTAGGAAATTATTTTGTTATTTAAATTTAAATTACAATTTATTAACATTAAATAATTATGTTTGAATATCGAAAATAAATAAGAAGGACTTAAATATAAAAATTGGGGAAAAAAAGAGTAGCAAGAGAATGTTTTGATAGTTTGTCTATTAATAAAATATATGGTAGATCGCTCCCGTTTTTTCTCCAAATTTTATTGTTTCAAATGCCTTAATTTTTAATAAGTTTTTGTCATTTTTTATTTGTCCTCTTTTCGAAATTAAAAATTAAATAACCTCAATATTTTATTTTAAAATATTTTCTTTTTTTTTTGATTGTTTGGTTTCTGGTTTCTTTATCTAATTTATAAACATTAGAAAAGGAAAAAAAAAAAATTAAAAAAATTACCTTCAATAAACATTTTTAATTAAATTGCAATTTTAGAAAATATTATTATTAATAATAATTGCGAAAATATTAATTTCAAAAAAAAAAAAAACAAGTTTATAAACAGTTTAAAAAAAAAGAGTATGTAATAAAAACATAATATACAAGTAAAATGTACTATTAAGATTTTTACTATTAAAATACTGAATTAAAAAAAAAAAACATATTGTGGTTGTTAAGTTATGTAAATAATTAAAAAAAGAATTAATATAATAATAATTGCGAAAAAATTACGATCTAAAATTATTTTATTTTAGGATATTTTCATTTGTCCATTACAAAAATTAAAATACATAAATTTTTTTTGAATTTTAAATCTTAATAATTTCAAATTTTAATCCTTCATGTAATTCTCATTTCAGTTGTTTTTATTTTTAATTTTATTCAAATCAGTCGCGTTTTCTAACTTATAACTGACACTTATTGTGAAAAAGAGTTATTTGTAACAAATTCATCGCATCGAATCTTCTACATAATATAATAAATACATACATACTAATAAATTATCACCCATATTTATTCTGCTAGTCGCGTCACTTCAGGTGATGGGATATTATTAAAAAGTATTTGTGTTTTCAGTATAGAATTTCAAATTTTGTAATAGATCTTATTCAGAATATAAGGACATTTTTGAGTAACAACCTATCAAGGGACGCGGCTAACAGAATATGGGTGATTTATTTATTAGATAAATTCTGTATAAATAATAAAATTTAATAGTTCTTTACCTTCATTTCACATTTTCACATATGTATGTTTAAAGTAATTATTAATTAATATTGAATATTCATAACAAAAGTTTAAATTATTATTGAATATTCAACATGTATTTATATATGTGATTTTGTTTCGTTTTTTTTTCTGCAAGTAATAGGGTTAACGAGTAAATGTTAATATTTTAAATTTAAAACAATGTTTTGTAATGCATTTTTCTTCGTAAAAATAAACACACTTTTCATAAAGAAAAGGGATATGATTAATAAAAATTTTTAACATAACTACAGATTTAAATAACAACGAAAAATGTTTATATATTTTTCATATATTATGGATGGTTTGCATTTTTTATTTTATTGAATATATACCAGTCTCCAAAAATTTATTACATAAAAATAATGTAATCAAAAACTAAGATGATTTTTTCTCCATGCAATAATTATCAAAAATCGGTATTCCTTAAAAATTTATTATTAAACAGAAACTTTCTTAACAAAGAAAATACGTAATTGAAACTACAAAGGTAAGTGTGATGGTGACATACCTATAAAAATTTAAAAATATGTTGCAATTAATTTAAAATTTCTTTGATTATAATCCTGGGATGGATAATAAATTTCAGCGATGGATATTTTCATGTATTAGCTTTAGTATTAACTGAGTATTAGAGTAGATATTTAGGTCAATTTGATCTAAAGTGATTTATCTTAAATGTATATACGATGTTTTACCCCAAAAAAACATCAATGCACGTAGTATTTACGTTTCCGTGTTGGAGCTAGCACATAATAAAAATTGAAGATAAAAATAAGAAAGAGGGTAAATTTTCTCTGGACCCCAGTTAATTAATTTTTTAAATTTTCGTTACTTTGTCGCAATTTTTCTCTAATTTTTGGTAAAAAAAAAGACATCAACGCATGTTAGATTTTTGGGCAATAAGAAATTTAATAATTTTTTTTTACATAAGATTACAACTTAATAAATTAAAATATATTTTATGATTTTCAAAAATGTACTAATCGAATATTTGACGTAACAAAGGTGTTGGATTTTTAAAATTTTAAAAATGCTTACATGTAAAAATTAAACATCACAAAATTTATAAAAGAAAATAAAATAAACATTGAAAAGTACATCAGTCCTTTTGTTTGCGGGTTGCTATGAAGTGTATTATCTATTTTTTAAGTCACTTTAACTGTTAAAAATGATCTATGTTAAGCTTGGCCAAAAAATTCGTTTGTTCAATAATATTCTAGTCGCTTCGAATACATTTTTTTTAGATTTAAAACGTAAAATTCAATAAATAAATTTTAAACATCTTATTCGACTTTTCTTTTTATCTTTCTATCCAACTTTAGTCATACTCATGACTTGATTCTCGTTTGCTTATTAAATTTTCACGTTCTTCTTCATGTGACTCAATAATTGTTGATGGTGGAACTGTTCTATTTAAAGCTTTTGTCTTATGTAAACCTTGTGTTAAACCCGAATCAGTCAAAACTTCCACATCATCATCATCTTCTTCTTCCTCTACTGTGAAATATGGATGAGCTGAAGCTGGTCTAAATTTATAACCAGTTAAAACAAAGAATACATAAGTTGCCATCTCACGGAACATTTCATCAAGCCATGCGTATTGGAATGCAACAGTTATTTTTAGTAAATAAACAATAATCCGAGTAAAATAAATATAACAAACAATCATTATATAAAATTGTCTAAATAGTTTCAATTTTCTTAAATTAATAGCAGCTTTTCCATCAGTGGCTGAGGCTTCATGTAAATGTCTAATAGACCATACAACTGGAAATAGAATCGCTCCACAGCATAATAAATCGACTAGAATAAATATATCACGCCATGTTCGATGTTCAATATCACCCTCCTCACTTTCATCCATAATAATTTCTGCAACATTAGCTAAAACCTAATATAAATATTATAACTATAAATATTGTGTATTGCATTTATCACAAATATATTTAATACGCACTTGTAATGGAATAACAATCATAAATAGTTTTTTATCTTTATCAGCCAGAATATGTTTTATAAAGGTCCAACCTGTTCCAATCAAAACAATTGTTATAAAAAGAACAGCTCCTTTAAGTCTACAATTAGAAATTCTTTAAGTTTACACATAATTTTTAAGTAGATAATTATTTACAAGTGAGCTACATAATACAAAATCGCCCATGCTTCCACATGTTCTCCTTTGATTTCAATAAAATGATAATTAATGGAATGAAACATTAAAGACAAAGATTTGAGGAAAACGAGCACTGCCATTATATAATGAATTTTGAACACTGTATGCCTTAAAGAATTATAATAGTTTTTTAAATTTTAATTAAATTTGAGATTTAACTTTGATAAAGGAATTATTTTATAAAATAGGTTATATTTTTTAATAAATTTTTCTTATATTTACCTGCTTTTCTTCAAAATGAAAATCCAGAAAAGTCCTGATAAAAAGAACAAAAGAGACATCATAAAATAAAGAGCTGGCAATGGCATTTCTCCAGCTGACAAAAAACTATTGCCACTATTTTTTTCTTCAATATCAACCTTTTTAAATAAGCCTTCATTTAACAAAAAGAGGTATTTAGTTAGATTTCATACTTACATCAAAAGATAAGGACATTGGGTTTTCTCCATAATTAGGACAAGCATGAAAATATAAATTGTACAAACCTTCATCATGTTTGGTTGCAACAAGAATTGAAAACTAAAGCGAAAGATTTTCAAGTTAAATTAGTAAATATTGAAATCATTTGATACACTTTCGTTGGATTTCGAAAACTTACTGTAAGATTGTAATACTTTTTTTTCTCCTTTTCTGCAACTGGCATGGGCAAAATTAATTTATTACAATTTGAAACAGTAGAAGCGTCAACTGAAAGTATTATACAACAAAATACATAGTTATCTTTCTTGAAAGATTTAAAATATTACGAAAATTAAATATAAATATAGCAACAAAAGCAGTAAATATATAAAAGTAATAAAGATGGGAAATGTATTAGTAAAAGTTATTAACCTTCTCTACGTCTTCTGCTCAAAAATAAGGCGGAGTCACTAATTTTTGCCAATGATTGGCGTTTCGAACGTAAAATAGGTATTTTATCGTGACTTGAATATATGTGAATGTCTTTCCAATCTGCTGAACAATTTATATTCACCCTAAAAATAGAAATATAAAAATTGAACGGAGCATAATTTAGCACATTTTACTTTTCATTTTTTAAGTCCATTTTGAAAAATATAATTGGTCCACTTCGTTGTGAAGATGCTTGTTCTTCTAGAATACATTTGTCCTGGTGGGAATCCAAGTAAGGATTCATGGCATCGGTTGTTGTTTTGTCCAAAGATAATCCAAACTGAAAAGGAAGCTATTAATTATCCGCTTTTGAATACGATCTTGAAACAAGAGTACAATATTGTTTTCCTGACCAGGATCTATTTGAAAATTACTTATTTTGACATCTAAAACTCCAGATTGATAAAAACCAAAAGTACTTAATGCAATGTATCTTCTTACATCATCCTAAAATAGAAGGAATTGGTCTTCCAATTAATCATGAAAACAAATTCTTTACAAATTTACCCTTATTTCCAGGTGATGTTTTCTTCCTAAACATATATGTACTAATAATAATACTAAAGCAAATTTCTTAATATCCATGATCATCATTTTAATTTTATATAAACTTTAAATTTGTTTTTGTTTCTTTTTTAAATGATGCCCAATTTTTTCTAGATCCGCCAAGTTTTACTCAGTATTTTCATGTCAAATATTCTTTGGTTTTAAATTTATTTCACAGTAATATGCGTATTTACAATATTAAAGTTTAAAGTTTTTCAATATTAGAACCACAAAAATTATATTTAATTAAATTTATTTCTGCTTAAACATCGTAAATTCGTAATTGATTTTGATGTGATGTCGAGTCGATAAAATAAAAATTTACGATATTCAGTGACAGTTTAATTTAATTATAAGCTCATTCAACAGGCTATTTTGTGTTCGGTAAATATGGACTGCGATCAACATTATTACCACGGCATATAAAACAAGGCAATGTACAAAATGGCAATATATCATTATGTGAAATCTTTTTTACAAAATGTAAGGTAGCGTTCAAAAAGAAAGCAAAATTATAAGATTTAGTTTGAAAAGATCAAAATTTGGAAACACCTAATCCAATCAAAGTAAATCATATGAGAAAATTGAATCTTGTCTAATTTTCTATCCATTTTTTTGACAGCTAAAACAATAATGGTGAGTATTGAAATTTTCCATGTGTTGTAAGTGTGAACAGCTGATTTTTTTTAATTACAAGGTAAAATAAAAAAACAACTGAAGTGACAGAAAATTTTTTCAAATCAAATTTGATTTGTAAAAACTAGTTCGACTAGTTGTACAATTTATTTGTACAATTTTGCTTTATTTGTCAACCCTTGGCAGAAAAACAGAAAAATAAATAGATTTTTTTAAGCTTCCAAAAATGTAATATTGGAAATGAAACAGTGTATATGAATGGTGTAAAAGTGTGTTCAGGTCACTCTGTAGAATTGATCAGAATCCAGAACACAAGCAATTCTGTAGATTTTGAATAGACCTCTGGAATTTCTAGGGTTTACATATTCGTTATTTCATTTGTCTTTATTGGCAATGGGAAAAAGAGGTTCATAATTCAACCATTGATTCAAAAGTCGTTGTGCAAACGTAATTAATAATAATGATTGAAGTACATTCAAGTACATTATTAATTATGTACATGCATTTGAAGAACATGCATATATGTATGTATATTTACCGAACGAAATCTAGTGTGTTGAATGATACTCGTATATTTAAAAGTATAAAGAAATGGATAAATAAATGATTGCTACTGAACACCGTACCACTTGTAAGTCAAAATATTAAATTTCTCTTTTAATTTAATAATTTTTTATTATTTTTTCGTAACGGTTGAGTTTTGTTTTTAATATTATATAAACAAATACACACACATCTATAAATTATAAATATGAATGCTAATTCTTTTTAAAATTAAATATTAATTAGTTGAATTTTCATATAATATATACAAACATAGTACGTACTTATATACTAATAAATTCTGCTAAAATTTTAGAAAATTTTAAATATTTCGTGATTTCAAAAATTGCTATCTACATACATATATGCACAATTCAGTAAAGTAAAGCTTATAAGTTGAAATTTTGAATTCTTAGAGTTTATTACATAAAAAAAATTCAAAAAAGTTATTTTAAACTATATAGTTAGTTAAACTATATGTATTTCTAGTAAAATGGATAGAATATGGCCATTAGAAAGGTAACTGTAAAAGGCGAAGCATCGCATAAGTAGTCCTAGGCTGGATTCATTGGTTCGTCGTTTTTAATCTTAGCTATTTGTAGTCGAACTATTTTTTCTCTTGATTGTTCATTGTTCATTATTTTAACACGCTAACATACAGTAGTGAATACGCAAATAGAGAAGAAAGAAGTAGTATCTATTGCGTATATTTCATGTTATAAACCTGTTCTTTTTAAAGGCAAAACAAAAATATCGCTCGTTTATATGTAATATACGAACTCAAACATTTTTAGTTAGGAAGAAAATCGGGACAAGTTCAGGAAATTAGTGCATCCGGTTCGAGCGCTTGTGGAGTAATTAAAGTCGGCCTCAATAAAAGTATTTTGAAATGTGGACTAATTTTGCTGTGGACTTAAACTCTTTGGGATCTCCAAAGTCTTCTGCTATAACTTCAATGGAATTGAGCGTTCTTTTATAAGTGGACACTTCTTTTATATGTGACAAGTATTAGTGAAATATACGGCGTAATAATATACGCAATTCAACTTATAAACGTTATATTAGTGAATTGTGCATATGTACAATATTACTGAATTTTTGGACTCACGGAATGATAAATTTTAATATAATTTATTAGTAAACACGTAAATTTTTATATATTATGTGAAAATTCAACAAATAAATATTTAATTTTTAAAAGCATTAATATTCATACTATTAATTTATAGACGTGTGTATTTCCTTATATGATATTAAAAACATCTCTTTTTTTTTTTATATGTTTATTATATTTGAGGTATCTGACCATTGGTGCAGTGGTTATGGCACCGGTCCTTTAACCGAAGGGTCTCGGGTTCAAACCCCGGTCAGGTCACTATAAAAATTATATTCAATATTATTATAACTTAATATACAATACTAATAAATATTATACAAGTAATTTTCAAATATTCGTAATATTCCATATTAAAAAAAAAACTAAGAAAAATAAACAGTAAATATTAATAACCTCAAATAATTAATATAAATAAAACTACGGCAGATTAGTCACCTACCTAGTTAAACTCTATGACGCTATGAAACTAGTGCATGAGAAATCATGCACTAGCCCTATGCTCCCTCTAGGAGTGAATAAGGAAAAAAAAAAAAAAAAATTATATTTGAGGTAGTCAAAATGAACATTGATCAATTATTTCTCAACTCATTTTAGACTTGCTTCTGGAATATCTAGGGAATTCTAGGGTATTTCTGGAATCAATGTTTGACATACGTTTCATTCGCTTTCGCGATAAATTGTTGATAGCTTTGAGATGAAAACAGAAGAGTGAATTTCCACGGCGATATGTTAAAATTCATATAGAATGCACATACTAATATAAATGGAACTGGCCAGAATGAACTGGTGAAATAAACTCCGTCAATTTAACCGAAGGCGGTTAGTAGAAGGAGTCTAAAATCCTATTTTCACGGTTGCTATTTTTGATACTTGACATTATAATCAATTAAGGTTATTAATTTTACTTTCTAGTACTAACTAATTTTCAGTAAGGTCAATTTTCCTAAATTTAATTTTAATAATTTCTGATTAATGAAGTGTTAAAATCAATCACTTTTGTTGTAAAAGACAATTTTGAAATTAATTCATTATTTTTTATTTGGCAATTACATATGTACATATTTGGTTATTTATATACATATTATATTTATTATATTTATTTATATAAATACCTATATGTACTCGTATGTACTTATTTATTATACACATATTATAATATTCTTAATGATTTAACTATGTTGAGGTAAAATCATAATGTTTTTCAGAAATCAACTGTTTTTGAGCGTATGTTACATTGAAATCATTTCTTAGTGGTGTAGTATATCGGATTCTGTAAAACGCATAGCCCAATATCAATAAACTCAATACAAAAAATGTAACTCCGATAATGATTAAAATTATTCCAATGTCATGTTTACAAATATTTGAATATCTTTCAACATCATCTGAGCATTTTATTCCATTTATGTGCGGGCCATTAAAAATTTTGGTATATAAAATATTTACAAAATTATTCTCTAAATAATTTAAAAAATTTATTAAATACGAACAGCTCCAATGATTTTCAGTTATGTCAATATTGAAAGATTTTCTTAATATTGTACTATGATTATAGTTTAAAAACCGCAATGCGTTATGTGATATATTGAAAAATTTTAACTTTGTAAGATAATCAAACAAATCTAAATCAAGTTCCTTCAAATTATTATAGGATAAGTCTAGATTTTGCAAATTTTTCATTTTTGCAAAAAATTTTCGATCTCCAATATAAAAATTAGTATTACTTAAATTTAATCGCGTTAATGAATTAAATACAATATTATCATAGTTACATGTTATATTTTTATTGTTGGATAAGTCCCAAATTTCCAAATTAAAAATTTCCAAAAATTTATTTTTCTCCATCCTTGGTGATAATTCAATTATTTCGTTATTATTTACATAAAATCTTTTTAAATTATGCAAATATTTAAAGTGGTCGATTGAAATCCTTTTAAGAAAATTATAGCTAATGTCAATATGTTCAATTAAAGATAATTTTTCAAATACATTTTCATCCAAGTATACAATTCGATTTTTAGTTAAAATCAACATTTTAAGATATTTTACGTATTCAAAAGCGTTTTGAGGTATTAATTCAATGTAATTATTCGCCAAATTTAAAATTTCAAACTTCGTTGGTGCTGATGGTTTTAAAAGTTCCTTTGTTATATTTATTAAACCGCAATAATTTATCGATAAATTTTGTACATCTGGAAAAGCTATAAACATGTTTATCGGCAATCTTGGCATGGCTCCATTTTTTAAAATAATCGATTCCGATCGACTTAAATAATTTGACACAAATGTTATGTTAATGATTTCGCTTTCACGAAATAAAAAGCTTGAGCAAATAACTGGATTTTCTCCATGTGGTGTACAAAAATCAGATTCGAAAGTTGCATCCGTAATTTTTATAATCCAGAACACAAGCAATAAGTTTATTTTAAAAGTATTCATTTTCAAACTGAAAATTAATTATTTATATAACAATATTGTATGAATGTGTTACAGAATCAAGCTTCTTTATTTACTAAAATAATGTAGCTCAAAAAAATATGAAGGAGTATTTGTTAAGAATGTTTTGTTTTTATTTTACATCCATTTAAAGATATCAGTTGCTTTAATTTTATTAATGTATTTCATATGTATGCATTACATATAAAGTAAACATTATATATTAAGTATGTATTATATATTATGTATGTACACTTAATAAAGAGTGATTTTAAAATTATTATTGTATAAAAATTGCATGTGATTTCGATAAATCATATGTTGTCATTAGCTTTCTTTATAACTTCTTGTATTTGTATCCGATAATTACTCGTTTTGTAAGGTTTTTCCAATCTGCAATTTTGAATGGTTGATAAAAATAAGAGATTATTTCTTTCACTACAGAAACAAGAAGCAGAAAACGTCAAACGGGTCAATTGACAGATTCAAAATTGCAAAATTAATTACTCATCGAAAAAATTCATTATATATTCCAATTCTTCAATATTGATTACACGCTCAGTGTTCACGATGCTTTTTATTGCAGTCACATAAACTTTGTTGTTGTAAAAAAGAATGACGAAACTGAAAAGCATTTTTAAATCTTTTTTAGTTTTTTCGATTTTTATAGTGCAGATAAATGATGTAATCATTTATCACTTTTTAAGTACTGAGCCAGGTATGTGAACATTGAGAGCGTAATCGCCGCTATTGTTCGATAAATCTCAAATTTCTAGATTAAAGATTTTCCTTAACTAATTTTTTGTGCGTTTTATTATACATATTTTACATCTTGGAGATTTTCATAGACGCATTACTGTCAAATAATAACTGCGATATACATATTCAATTTTACTAGTCAAATAATATTTAACTATTCTATATAAGTAATCCAAACAATTCATATGATTTAACTGCACTGCTTATACAATTTCCCTATATTAATTCGAAAAATTCGTCATGCTTATGAACAAACTGCTTAGCAACATTTGCTTATGAACATAAATATAGCGCAGTTTTGGCTACACATCACAATATACTGCGTTTATGAAAAAGCCTTTTATATCAAAAATTAAAATTTAAAGTTTTCAATTAATTAGTTTTTGTAGATATCTGATTCTACTTATTTATATGAACGAAAAATCTTGGACCGTTTTTTTTTACCATACTGTAGTTCCAAAGCGAGTATTGTCCCCCCACCCCCCTCAACTGTACGGTGCTGGAAATTGGTCAATGAATCATTCCTGAATATATTTCGAAACCTTATGCGAAATAACCTGTATAATAATGCTTATCAACAGCAGCACCCTTTTCAGGAAGAAATTGATATCAGAAAAATTTTTTTGTTAACAATATATTTAGATCTTCTACATATGCATGTATGTACATAATATATAGTTGTATCATGTGTAAAATTTCAAAAAGAAAATTTTTTATTATCAATAGTATTTTTGCAATTATGTGTGTTATCTTTTTTTGTTTTAATACTTTAAGAGAAAGGGGAAATCTCGAAATTTGTGTTGAATTATTCACATTAGTTGCGTTAGCATACATATACTACTCGTATGTGTATAAAAGAATGGGAAATAAATATGTTTTTGTATTGTAATGTAAATTTTTTGTATGACATAAAAAAAATCTGTCAAATTATGATGCATAACTAAAAGGAAAAAAACAGAAACGGCCTTTCAGATTAAGTATTTTCACTGTTGCATCTTAAAACGTATTGTTGCGATCTTAAAAGAAAGAAATGTGGAATTACTTTTCAGCACTTTTTCAAAAAAAATTTTGAAAATGTGCTTATTAGCTTCATCCTGTCCGCCCGTGGACATGTTTACAAAACTTCTAGACTTTTCAAGAAAGAAAGCTGAAATTTTATATACAAATCGACCTTTACTGGAAACTTACTGCCGTAGAAGAAAATTTTAAGTATCTCCCTTCTTCTTAAAGTTATAGCCACCCAAAATCATAAAAATGACGTTTTTCGACTATTTTTTGTAACGACACCAAAAAAAGATGGCTAGTTTCTTCTACCTTGGCATAACAAAGTTGATTTTTAAAAAAACGAAATGGCCGTTAAATTTTATGATTTTCGCATTTTTACACAGGGCAACATGTAGAAGTTTAAAATTTAAGCAGCTTTCAGATATCAACAAATAGTTTCAAAGTTCAAGTTATTGCCTCTCGCATTTCATAAAACTTGAATTTTTAGCACCTTATATTTTCGAAACTCCAAGTTTTTCCAAAATTCTATAAATGTATAAAGCTAACGGTAAATTCCGTGCCAACTTCGTAACTCACTCAGTTAACCCTTGAATTCGAGCATTATATTAACGCCTATTTAATTTTTTTTTATTTATTTCAAGAATTGCATACATTGCTCATCTCAAATGTATGCAATCTTTTGAATTCTTTGGTGTATGAATGAAGATAATTTTAATTGTAGTTTACAGCTTTAGTTTACTGTAACTTACTCCAACACAAAATTTTTATAGAATGTTGCGGAAAGATTATGCATTTTTCGTTCAGTACGTAATGCCTGTTTTCAACTTTATTGTTTGCAAGTTTTGTTTAACAGTTGAAAATTATTTATTTCGTATGGTCATATCGTTTAATTTTTCATAATGTGAGAATTTCAAATAAAACCAATTAAATAATTTTTAAATCTAATTTTTATGAATTTATTTACTGTCTTGAGTTTTTTTTTTCTTTTTACAAAATCTTTATTATTTATTATTTTTACATTTGATTACACATTGCTTTTTGTCATGTTTTGTTATTTTTTTATTTTATTTGTGGTTTTTGTTTTGTTCAATATTGTTTCTATTTCGGTGTTTCTTTTTAAGGATTTTTAGTACTGTTTAACTTTTTTCTTGTTTCTTAAAAATAAATGATATTATACCACTTTGTATTTAAAAATCCAAAAGTGAATTAAAAATCTTTTATTTTAATTTTAAATATTTCTTGTTTAATTTAAAATAAAAATTTTTAAATATTTCTGTAATAAATTTTTAATTCAAAGAAATGATTTTTAAACTTGTTTAACATACATTTGAAAATATCTATACATATCTGTATATAGGTAAATCTATCAATTTCCTGTCAGAATTTAATAGTATAAGACTGGTTAAACATTTAATAGTATCAGACTGTTATTTTAACATTTAATAAATTGTCATACTCGTATAACAAAAAAAAACATAACTATAATGTCTTCTTTCTTCATTATACTAAAAATCATGTATTATAAAAATAATTCATGAAGAATAAGAATTTTTATACTATACTGCTAAATACCTTGAATAGAAGGCTTTCCTGTAGAAAAGATAATATCAAATACCAAACCTTTTCTCTCAATAGTTTTCTTCTTTCTCTTCTTTTTCTAGTGTGTATAGGTTCGCTCCGAATAGCGAACTAATTTATTGTTAATTTCCATTTTTTTTATTGTTAGTTGGTAATATGAAATTATTTATTTCCTAATATACATACGCAAATACATATATTTTTAATGATATAATTTCAAAAACCACTGAATAGGAAAACAATATATTAATAGTAAATTAAATTTGTATTGTAATTTTAAAATAATTTTAATTTAATCTACATACATATTAATATAAATATAGTTTAAAAATCATTTTTTTGAAATTTTTTCATGTAATAAACTCTGAGACATCAAAATTTCACTAATACGACGTATTCAACTTATAAGCTTTATATTAATGAATATGCACAGTATTACTGAATTTTTGAACTCACAGAATATTTAAGGAACAATAAAATTTTAATACAATTTATTAGTATATACGTACTATGTTTGTATATATTATATGAAAATTCAACTAATTAATATTTAATTTTAAAAAGAATTAACATTCATATTTATAATTTATAGATGTGTGTGTATTTGTTTATATAATATTAAAAAGAAAATTTGACCATTAGGAAAAAAATAATAAAAAATTATTATTAAAAAATAAAAGAATAATTTTATATTTTGACTAAAAATTGGTACGGCGTTCAATGGCAGGCATTTATTTGTTCATTTCTTTATATTTTTAAATATTTCTGATTAATTTTTGTTTTTTTGAAATCTTTATTTTAGTTTATAGGTAACTTTGTGGTTTTGGTTTTTTTTTTTTGTAACATATTTCATGTTTTTGTGTTATCCATTTTTCATAATACTTTATTATGATTTTATTTAAGTTTTGTATTTCCCTTTCTTTTTTTGATTTTATGTCTAATTTTTCATAAAAATTTTCATTTAAAATTGTGCACTTTGAAAAACATATTATAATTAGTAAAATTTATTATAGACCAAATCAGTAATTTTGATTTTGTTATAATTAATAATTTTATTATTAATAATAATTTTATTATTTATTATAAACCAAATTAAATATAATTATAATTTATAATTTTTTTTTGAAAAAAATAATCTCAAAGTTTAAGATATTTTTTTAATCATATAATTTGTATATTAAATGTATTTAGTGCATGTTTCTTATGCACGTTTCAATATAAAATAATAATTTATATAATGTTATGAGTTTTGATGGTCTGACATTTAAGAATGATGTTTTGTTAATTGTCAAAAATATATGGGTAAAGAGCATAAAACTCACACAAATAAATATTTTTTATAACTATTTATACATTATAGTTATTCGTTAACAAAAAAACAAAAAAAATAATTTAAAGATTTATTAATAAAATAATAATCTTAATCATAAAAAAAGCAATTTACTCATAAATTTTAATTGTTTTAAATATAAAACGACAGCATTGTTGACATTTTTACAATTCGTTTCATTTATTTGTATACAATTTTTTTTTTTTTGCAATTTTTATGATCAATATAATTTAAAACAAATAAAATAATAGTTATATTAATTATATAATTAATTTTATTTAATATTTAGTGATTTTTCTTTTGTTCATTTGTTTATTATAATAATTACAAT